TGTTGTATTCTACATGTGATTTGCCCATTTCTACAAACTTCTACCTGTTCATTAAGTTGCTTTTAGGATTAATCCAACCATCCACTATGCTTTCACCTGTTTTCTTGTTGTTGATCTTGACTGCTACACAAAGGCCTACAGACCTCTAGATGCATAACTCCTGGTTGTGTGGTTCATCAGCTTTGTAATTCTGGGAGGCCAGCGTCTGCTGGATTAGAGTGTTTTGCTCTAATCTATGTTCTCTGCAGGGGTGGAAGTGCTTCTCATTGTGGCTCTCTTAAGACCTCAAACCTTAGAAATCACTTCGTAATGCTTTTTCAGACCGATAGATGTCAGAAACTGTTTCTTCTCTTTCCCACAAATGGTAAAGTAAGAAACCAGCTGTTTTAAGTTGTTAAAAGTTAGGGACGAGGATTTACCTTTAATTGGACTTTAATCATAATCAGTTGGGATGTCTTGATGAGAGAAAGACATGGATGTTTCTATCTTTCGCTCTGTTGTTTTATTTCTCTGAATTGTTTCTTACAGCTTGGTGGGATTTTCTCTCCTTCTAATCAAAGAGCGATTTACTTAAATAACTTCCAGCGAGTGATTCAGTATTCGGGACACGTATCACGGAAACTCATCTAAATTCCTTAGCTTATTTAACTGATACATTTTTTTAAGAAATATTTTTCTACCCTCGTTTCAGTTTCAGATATGAACATTCGTTTAAAAGGATCAACTGAAGAGATCAGTGTTTACTACAATGGTATTCATTTCTAGAGCAGGAATGTTGATAGAAAAGAACAACAATAAGAAAGCAGACCAAGTGATGAAGTATTGAGGCTCTGAAAAGGGTTGATGATTTAGTTGATTGACATGATTATTTTTCTGTGTGTTGAAACAAAAACCTTACATTTCCAGCTGAGCAACATTGCTTTGAGAAGGAGAGTAAAACGTTCTTATATGCATGTGACAAAGTGGCACAAGGAATTGAAAAGTACATAAAGTGTACGTTATTATAAGGTGAGTGTTTAGCTCATTTGTAATTTAAAATGATGTCTGACCTGAGTTGTTAAAGCAAACCTGATTGAAACTATAAAATGTACATAAGATAAAATACAAATGAGTCATGACTTAAAAAGATCCCAATGATAAGAGAACTGTAGGTCCAAAAACAGGGAGTCATATTGCTCATACGATCAGTATTAGGCATATTTTTATCATAAATATTTCTGTCTGTATCTGTTAGAATAATTGTATATAAATGTATCTGTGTAGTGTTCACATGCATAACGCTGTGTGCTATGTGCATGTGTTTATAGCCATCTTTTCTGAAGTATACTGTGATTTGTAAGATTTGCTTTTGGGGAGGTTGTGGTTGACCTACGGGCAGCACTCGACCTGCTGAACTTTGGTGAACAGCTTCAACCGCTTAAACTTTGACTGAACCCTGAAATTTATAGGATGTTTACTGAGACTGCAAGTCTGAATTTTTCATGTTGATTCTGATCTTTAGAGCAGTCTCAGCTGTTGTAACAAGGGACCCCTGATTTCTAATAAATAGCGAGCAGAACGCTGGGACTGCAGAGTGAGGTGGAGATTGTAAACTCTTCAGTCTTTTCCTACTCTCCTCACGAGTAAAACTAAATTACTTGTCTCTTTGCCTTCTTTCTTTCCCTGTATGTATGTATGTATGATGTTTTAGGTGCTTAGACCTGACAGTATCCAATAATCAAACTCTGGATACCATCTTGAAGATTTTAAGAATGCTTTATCTGGAAACAGCCGAAACCAATCAAGCTGCTGATCCAGATCAACAGTTGTGAATACAATGACTCTAAACAAGGTAAAGCTATGAGGGTAAAGAATGTAAAGCTACTTAAAAAACATCCACTTTCTGTTTACTGAGGTCAAACCATCGTATCCGATGGAAAAAAACAAACCTGTATTTCCCGCTGAGTGACATGGTTAAAGATAGATTCTATCATGTTACATTTTTCACAAATAAGAACATTAAAAATTTATTAAAATAAATGAAATATTTTGCTTCAATATTTGAAACACATTTCTTGACATAGCAGCTGTCAAACTCCTGTAACTGGGATGGAGAAAAATTTAACTAGCAACATTTATAGCTCTGCAAAGACCGAGGAGGGTAATTGTGCAACAAGAGTAACAAAGGAAAGTGAACCATTGCTTTTTTGTTTTATTTAAACAACACTAATGCAGATTTAAAAAAAGACAGTATATTCAATTCTTAATTTGTCATTTTTATCCATTTTTGTTTTGTGAAATGCTATAAAAAAAAAATTCAGTAATGCTTATTCAAATGTTTTGTGTTATAGTAGAGTTCAAGAAACCTGAAATTAATTAATATGTTTATTTATTTTATTGATAATCATACAGGTTTACTGCCTAAAAAACTTAAACAGTTAGTAATAAGATACTGAGTAAACGTAATTAGAAGCAACAGAGTTTAAGAAAGTCTTCATCAAACAGACCAGGAGAGAAAGAAAAAAGAAAATGATGCAGCATCGCTTAGAAGGCAATGAAATAAAGCATTCGTTATACCATGTGACCAAATGTTTACTCCTCCTCTTTACAATATAAACTCTAAATTCTTCCCTCTCTTCACTCCTCCTCAGCCTCTCTGAGCATTAAGCAGACTGACAACACAGGTAGGGAAAGTTTCTCATATCACTATCTGGATTTGTTGTTTACTGTAGATTATAAACTGAGATGTCAAACTGGTGCGCATGTTTACTTTGTTAAAAATCCCTTCAATTAAATAGCATTGCTGAAAAAAGTTGATTTTTTTTCAATTGTAACTCTGTATACTAATAGTATACAGCGCACTCTAGTGTCTGACTTTAACTACACCTTCAAACATAAAAAACAAAAATTAAAGACATAAAACTGTTACTTCCCTTTTTGTTTTTAGAAACCCGTTTCAATCTCACAGCAGTGAAACCTCAAAATTTCAACATCATGCATAGAAGGTAAGTATAAAAAAATATAAATTATTTATAAAATAAATAACATTAAACTATTTCTCGCTTTAAACTGGTTTCCAAAGATACTTAATCATCTGCATTTGGTTGCCTTTTATCAGTGATGTGCATGAATTGTAAATTTAAATTGAATCTGATAATTTATATGAAGTAAACTTGATTAAACAAGAGGAAATAAAAAACATCAAAGGAATAAACAAATTAATTGAACATCCAATATCAAGACTTACAATTTAAAATCGTGCAACATTTAAATTAAACTAGGAGGAACTAATTCCGAACAAGATAAGAACTGCTGTGTGTTTTTCAGACAAAAATAAATAAATTCTTGTGTTGAAATATTGTTTAGCAAGCTGTTAACAGTAAGAAGTAATTTATAATTTAGTGAATTACATTTAAGAGACTTATTTGATTAGATTTCATCTTTTTTATATATGTCACTGGAAGGATATCACACATTGAGTTCCTTTAAACTTCATCAAATCTGTGAGCAAGAAACTAATAACACATAAACAAACATTAAAAACTATTACAATAATACTAATGGATCAAACGGAGATTTGTTTCATTTCTTTTTATCCGGCGAGAATATATCCAAACTTTTTAACAGGACGGCATATGGGGTTCATAAACCAATATACTCTATTGCTAACTGAGAAAGTTTCTTTATTAACCTATAAGTTCTGCTATTCCAAAGGGAATAGTATATGAAATATTTTTAAAGTGTTTAAATTTTAAACTGTAACTGCTGGTGTTTCTTAAGCAATCTTCAAAATACTTTCATTTCTCCTTTCAAAAATCTTGAAAGAATATCTACACAATGTTAGAGTTAAGCAATATTTTATACACTGACTGATTCTGGCTGCACCATTAAGATGAGAAACACACCTATTGTCAATGCCCTTTTTACATTATGTAAAACATAGGTAAAAAGCTTAAAGACCTAAGAAAACCTCTTTACTTTTACCCTTTCAAGTATGCTTTATATGTTAATATTTTTCGTTACCATTATCTAGGCTTAATATTATGTCAAAAGTTGCATTAGCACAAGGATTTCATGGAAAACACCTTACAGTATATGTCCAAAGGTATTTACTGTAGCAATGTGCAAAAAAATTGACAAACCCTTTGATGTTAAAGGTTCTAAATGTTACATTTTAAAACCTTATCAACTCAACTATGGTATACTATTGCTTAGTTGTTATGAAATATTAGATGTTTCCATTTTTTTCTTTTTTTTTCAACTTGGAATATGCCACCTCTCCACATGTAGGAGCCACCCATGTTATTGCATTAGCCCTAAAGTGGCTTTAGCATGGTAATATGCCCCTTTTTTTAAGAAGGCTGAACAAATTCAGAGACTTCTAGGAGGTAAAAATCATATTTGTGCGACTGAGGGAATTGGCTAAACAAAAACAAAAAAAGAACAGCTGTCATTACTGTGAGAACATGGAGTAAATCAGAGTCCTACACCTCCAATGGGCCCCTGAAGAGTGCCCAAGGAGGGCCAACAGAGGGATAGCAATACCCCCCAAAAGAAGAGCAGAAGAGTGCCTTGGGGAATCCCCAGCAAATCTCAAGGGGGGCTACAGTAAAGAGACTGCAGGCTCCACTAGCTGCCAGCAAAGTAGTGGTACATCCAGCTATGAAGGTCCAGAAAGACACAATGTCCACCAGCAGAGACCACAAAGAACCAGAGGTCCAGGCACTACGAAGCAGCTTCCAGGAGTAACACACAAATAAATTCATTCTCATAACTTTATCAGTAAAGTAATGACATGAATGTATGCTGTCCACACACTTTTAATTCTCGACAAACACAGAATACTTCCAGGTCCTGTTACTGATACCACTGAGGGGCAAACAGTCTTTAGACAGGGGAAGTGATACCTTTCAGTCAATGGTGTGAAGAGGAGACTGCACAAGCCAACAGCCAAGTCCAGGGATTGTGCACATTAACCTGAGTAAATTTGGCCCAGAACCTGATGACCCCAGATCGTATTCATTCCAATGGTTAAGCCAAGAAAATGCAAAACAGTCTGGCCTTCCCAATAAATCCAGGCCCCAACCCCTTGAACCTCCTATCTATCCCCTCCTACCCCCAACGACCCCCCTGCGCCCCCCCACCCCACCCCAAGACACATATATAGACATAACATCACTACCTCTATAATGTCAAATGAGGGAACATTGCCTGACTATTCAAAAAATCTGTGACCCTGCCACTGGAGAGGGAACCACACTCTCCCACTCCACAACACAGTAGAGACCCCCCAACTACCTGGCCAATGCCAGATACTCCATCTCATGTTTCCACAAGAAGAAATGCCCTACCTGAAACTGTATAGTAATAGAGATGTAGGACCAAACCACAAAAAATAAGTTGATAGTTTTCCTTTTTGGCACTTGTGAACACTCATACTATGTATTGGCTGCAAATGGCCACTGTGCCAATCGTTGCCACTACGACAATTACAAAAACACTGCTCTTTGTGACGAGTTAGGACCTAGCTAGCATTGATCCATGCCTTTTTCTCAGTTTTGCATTTTATTACCTCCTCTTCATCATAATGTTTTAATTCAGGTGCTTAGTATTAATTATTCATACCAAACTGTCACTGTCACTTTCCCTTTCATTGACCACAGCCATGTTTAACCAGCTCCACCTATTGCCAAACCAGGCTGTGTCCATTAGTATCTCCTGGCACTGTCAACTTTTATGGCATTTTTCAAAATTGATCAAGGAGTGGGGTGATACTTTTACAACTGTGTCTGCACTTTAAAAAAGTACCATATAAAAATGTTCAATAACCTTGAACGTTACTGTTATGATGGGTCATTAATGGTCAACTATGTCCAGTCTGTAATAATGTAAACATTGCCCAGTCGGGATGCTAATGCTCAGTTATGCCCAGTCAGTACATGGGCAATCAAGGCTCAATAATGGCATCAATAATTGGCCATAAATGGTCAGGATGTAACGATCAACCATGTCCAGTTAGTCCAAATGGGACAATAATGCTCAACTATGTAAAGCCAGTAACAATGGTAGTGTGTTTGTCAGCTATGCTTCTCAATATAGGTAGGTTATTAATGATCAGGTACCATTGGTCTATAATGAGGGGTCAATGATGATCAACTATGCCTAGTGAGTAATGATGGATCAACACTCTTTGATGGGAAATGATCAATAATGGTCAACTATGTCCGATCTAAAAAGAGGGTTTGTCAAGGATTACCAATTCCAATCAGTAATGATGAGTCCCTATTGGTCAGCTATACCTGTCAATAATGGTGAGTCATTAATGCTCAATTCTGCCTTGAAGGTAACAATAGACCGTCATCAATCAACAAGGCTTTGTCAGTAGTAATGGATCAATAAATATGGTTCATTAGGAGTCAACTATGTTAAATCAATAATAAAGGGTGATTAAGCTTTAACTATTATGTTTATTTAGTAATGATTAACCATCAATTGTCCCTTTTGACCTGTCAGTAATAATTGATCATTAATAGTCAGCTATATACAGGCAGTAATGATGAGTCTTTATATGTCATTGATCTTTTGTTGGTAATAACAGGAATTAGTGGTCAAGTATGTCAGATAAATAACGATAGTTTAGCAATTCAAGTCAGTAATAATCAGTCAATATTTATCTGATATACTTAGTCTGAAATAAGGAGTCATTAATTATTATCAACTATCATTAGTCGGTAATAACGGGTAAACAATGGTGAACTATGGTCAGTAGTGGTGGGTCTTTCACTTAAAATAATCTATGATGTTCTGTTGATCATTTCGAGTTATAAAAGACCAAATATGTTGGTTTGATAATGAGTGTTTATTAAGGGTAAGCAAAGCCAGTCATTTAAAATGGGGTCATTATTTATCAAGGTACCAGGTCAGTAATGATGGGTCATTAATTCTCAACTACGCCTGGTCAGTAACAATGGCATAACAATTACATAATAGTCAACTATGCCCAGTAGGTAATACTGGGTGAATAGTGGTTAACTGTGCTCAGTAAGTAACAATAAGTCATTAATAGTAAACTGTCAGCTCAGTAATGCTTCATTATTGATTCTGAACTATAACTGGCCAGTATGTAATCATGGGTCATTATTAGTCAACAATTCCCAATCAGTAATCACCGGTTAATAATGGTCAACTATAGCCAGTCAGTGTTGATGAGTCTTTAATTTTCAACTATTTTCAATTCAGTTCATTTAATTTTGTTTGAATTTCGTTTATTTACGTAGCACCATTTCAAAACACGTCATCTCAAGGCACTTTACAGAGAAAATTCAATCAGACGATTGCATCGATAATTGACTCAAAGGCAATCCCTCACACTAAGCATGCTTGTAGCGATAGTGGAGAGGAAAAACTCCCTTTTAACAGGAAGAAACCTCCAGTAGAACCAGGCTGAATGGGAGCGGCCATCTGCCGAAGCCGACTGGGGTTCAAGGAGACAGAAGCAGAAATACAGAAAGAAGCAGAGTTACGAAAGGCGACTGTTAACCAGCTCCACAGGCGGCCCCGTCCACAAAACACACAGCCAGGCCAGGCAGACAAGACAACCATGCTCTGATGATGATGACAGTTCGTTAATGATTAAGGATGTGACATTTATAATGATGGTTTGTCAAGGGTCAGCAATGCCAGTTAGTAGTAATGGGTCATTATTTGCTATACCTGACCAGTACCAATGGGTCATTATGTGCAGCTCTGCATTGATTAGGTGTTAATAGTTGACAATCGCCTGTTGTAATAATGGGTCATTCATGGTCAACAATGTCAGGTCAGTAATGGCTGATTATACCAACTATGTAACCATCAGCGATTAATGGTCAACCAATGTCCAGTCAGTAATGATGGTTCAACAATTGTCAGCAATGCCGTGTCTATAATGGGAGGTCTTTAATTGTTAAAAATGCCCAGTCGGTGTTCATGGGTTATTAAGTGTGACTTATGCCCAGTTGGTATAGTTGTTTGGTCTACTATACTAATCAGTGATGATAGGTCTTTAATTGTCAGTGTGGTTGGTAATGGCAATTATGTCTGATCAAAAATTATAGTGTTTCATTGTTTCATGGTCACCAATGCCAGTCAGTAAGTATGAGTCATACCTGGTCAATAATATTGGAACACTTATTAAGCTTAACTATGACTGGTTAGTAATAATGGGTCCTTAATCTACAAATGTGCTCAAGTAATTTTTAAGTGTAGATGGCATTAATACCATTCATGTAAAATAAAAGAAAGATCTTGTATTTCGGGTAATAAGAATATTGTAAAGCTGTGCCAGCTGAGTGTCACCTATTTTCAGAGTGTTTTGTTCTTCCTTGCTCACACACATATCAAAAAGGTATATACAAAAATAAAAAAAAATTGTAATAACAGTTCTACCTTTTCCTCCCGGGTGTCCGCATGTAGAATGACTACAACCGCAGACAATAAGTTAAACAATAAAATTACATTAGAAGCTAAATTAAAGTCAGCTATAAAACAACATTTTAAATTGGTTGAAAGTTTTCTTTACAGAAACATCACAGCCTGAGATAAGCTCTTAACCTTATAACTAAATTGACGTTTTGTTTTTTTGTTTTTTTTGTTTTTCTGTTGTTAAAGTTATATTTATTTGGGCTTAACTGGAGGATTACGTTTTATGATATTCAAGCTATTTTGTCTTGAACACTTCAGTTTAGTTTCAAAATTTATTTTACGTGGGTGGGGATGAATACCAAGATGTTCATGTCTAGACAAAGTAGATTTATAATAAGAAGGTTTTTGGAAGAGCTTTATTCCTTTATATGTTTGAGAATTTTCCCTGGATATCAGAAAACTATTTTAAATACCGGATTATGTGTACCCAAAAGATCCAGAATGATGATGGCAGGAGATGATGGTATCTGCTGTCAGATGGCAGAGAACAAAGAATCATTCAGAGTATTATTATACATTCAACAATGAATATAAAAGAATATCAACCTTAAATAAGTATATACATTTAACTTTTACTTTATTCCCAATATGAATAGAAGACCTGGGGGGAAATGAATTTAAACTAGTAAAATTTAAATTCTTTCTACAGGTATATCTCATCTCAATTCAAGAACATCATCTCTAAAAGTCTCCTGATCGAACCAGGACCCCCAGCTGTCTACCAGCTACAGACAAAAAATGAGGACTTCGGACCTCTGACTAAAATGACCCTAGGAAAGAAAAACCTGAACAAGGCAAATAGAACGGTGTTACTGGTGGGTGAAACAGGAGCAGGAAAGTCTACCATCATCAACTCTCTGGTCAACCACGCCATGGGAGTGAATTATGAAGATGAACTCTGGTTTCAGATTGTAAAAGATGAGAGGAGGGACCAGACTGAGAGTCAAACATCAGATGTAGTTGTTTATGAGATCTTTGGGTTTGAAGATCAAACTCTTCCTTTCTCTCTTACCATCATTGACACGCCTGGATTTGGAGACACCAGAGGGATAGAAAAAGATATTATTGTCAGTCAAAGATTGTTTGACTTGTTTCGATCTGATGAGGGGATCAATGAGATTCACGCTGTTGGTCTGGTGGTTAAGTCCACGGACAATCGAGTGAATGATCGCCTGTCATACGTCTTCAATTCAGTCATGTCTCTGTTTGGGAAGAACCTTGAGAAAAGCATTGTGGCTCTCATTACTCATTCTGACGGAAGAGCACCCAAGAATGTTCTTCAAGCGCTTGAAGCTACACATATCAAATGTGCAAAAAACGAAAGGAATCAACCAATTTGCTTCCTTTTTGATAACTCCCAAGCTGAAGACCGATCAGAAGACGAGGATTTCCTTAAAGCAGCTGATGAAATTTCAAAGAAAGGAATGAAAGCCTTTACAGACTTCTTGGAAAGGAAAAGTCCTCAAAGACTGATTTCGACCATGGATGTCCTGAGCGAACGCATCAGCCTGACCTCCTGCATCCAGAACCTGCAGGAGAGAATCCTGTTAAGTGAGCAGAAGGAAAGGGAACTCAAACAAACTCTTGATGCTCTGAAAAAACAAGAAGATGAAATGAATAAATCTCACGTAGTCACTGTAGATGTTGATGTTGTCTACAAAGAAAAAGAGCCTCTAGCAAGTAAGGGTTTTTTTAGGCGTAATTTGTTTGAGAAAGCAATGGTGTGCACCATCTGTGAAGAGAACTGCCACTATCCTGGCTGTACATTAAGCCGCAATCCTCAACGCTGTGAGGTCATAAGAAACGGCCACTGCACTGTCTGCTCTGGGAAATGTCCTGCATCGGCTCATGTGAAGGAAAGATGGAGATATGTAACAAAAACCAAAAAGGTAAAGAAGACCATAGAAGTTCAGAAAAAGATGCTGGGAGAGAAAGTTGACCCCACAACAAGGGATGCTACCTTAAATCGTTTTTACAAGCAAATAGATGAACTGAAAGCAGAAAAGGTCCGGCTTGTCCTTGAGTCTTACCAACATGTCATGAAACTGGAGGATATCGCCCTCAAAGCGGATTCCGTCTCAACTTTTGTTCACATGGATTTCTTGATCGAAAAGCTGAAGGAAACAGGAGACACAAAGAAAGCTGGGATACTGGAGGAGATAAGAAGCCGAATGGATGCTGGAACCAAATTAGCACTAGACTACATGTGGGCAAAAACAATTGGAGCAGAGTAAAACCAGGAAAGAACTGACGGTCAAATCATATCAATGACAGGTCAGACAAGAGAGCTTCATCAGTTGAATTACCTCTAGAAAGGTTCCACTTTATATAAGATTTTTGTATATCATCTCATCATAAAGGTAAAAGGGTTTAATGATTGTTTAATACAATAGTCATCATTTTACAAAATTGTATCTTTTTATCTTTTTAATATGTCTGTAACTATCAAATATAATACGCCATTATACAGAAGAAAATATTAGAGCAAACATAATTACCACCATCTGTCCATGGTGTCTTGTCTATCCGTCAGGGTCCCAGTGGGGCTGGAAGCTATCTCCACCAGTCTTGGTTAAAGGCAGGGAACACCCTGGACAGGTCGCCAGTATATAGTGGGGCAACACGGAGATACACAAAGACACAGAGCAATGCAACCACACCCTAACCCCTAAGGGCATTTTAGACATGCCAATTTACATAACTGTAAGAGTTTTTGACAGTGGGAGGAAGCCAGAGTACCCTGAGAAAACCCAGTCCTGCAAGGGGAGAACATGCAAAATGCAGAAATCAAACACAGCTTCTTGGTGGAAGGCAAGAGTGCTACACACTACCCCACTGTCCAGTCTTAAAATTTAAACCAACAATAGAAAATCTAAAAAAACCTAATATAAGTGAATATGGGTAACTGGGAAACCATTTATTTAATAAAGAAATTAAGATTTATAATATCAATGATTTTCTGATTAAAGGTGGTTTTACCATTTTTCAATTCTTAGTTCCAATGGCAGCATTAGAAATACTCATTCAAATCCAACAGTTTATTGATCTACTTGTTGCATCTGCTATCCTCTGTCTAAAAAACTAATGCAACATATTGCCAAAAATTGTCTTCTGAATTTATGGATATATTATATTGTTACATTTTTTATTGTCTCAACAAATATCACAAAAATAATATGATAAAATGAGAAGAGCTAGTATCCACTTACTAGCTTTTCAAAAATGTAAATATTTTGTTTAGCTATAATTAATTGAAATGAGATTTTGACTTTTGTAGATTTGACTTTAGTACATTATTTTGTATTTCTTATATAGGAAAAGGTCTTTGTGTAACTAAATGTTTATTCCTTTAATATGTTGGGGTTTTTTTAGTTTGTGATATGATAAGTGATAATGTCATTAAATGGACTTTAATATAATTATACACACTATACAGAGTTTTACATTAGAAATATCCAGCAATAATATCTATTTTGTAACGGTTTTGTATCAAATCTTTGGCCTTCTGGTGATAAAATGTTTGATGAATGACACCATATTACTGTTTGTGTGTTTATTGGATCTTTGTTTAACTGGAATCAGTGATGGGTTCTATGCTGGTACCATGGTTCTTAGCGCTACTGTCAGTGTGAACAAGAAAAACTCAGGTTTAAAGAAAAATATCTCGGACATTTCATTTTTAAATATCTGTTGTCATCTATTTTGAATTGTAAGTCTTTAATGCAAGAGCAAGAACAGGAGGTACTTTCTATGAAGTCGGGTCAAACAGCTTTTTTGCTATTATCAGATAACCAGCATTTGTAATAATATCTTCAGCGGTACCATTTGTTTTCCCTTTAGGGCCTTTTAAACTTCAATCTGAAAAATTCAGGGTTCTTTCTTTTTGTTTTATGTTGGACCTTAATGACTCTTAGTCCCCAGAATAAGAAAGTCATTGACAATAGGCGGATAGATCAAACCATTAACAATTTTCTATCTTCACCTTCAATAATCTGATCAATCATTAATGCGCTGGTTTTGTTTGGCAGCAGTATTCTAGGATGTTTTCATTCCATATGTTTTTTTAACAAATAAAAATTCAAACTGGTGGATTTTCAATAAAGCATGACAAAAAAAACTGAGTCTAAATCCCAGACGGAATAGAAGATGGTCTTTATCCCTGTGTCCTATGTTCCAGTCAATCTCCAAGCAATGTTAGTGGATCTAAGTGTCCACCTTCATCTTCTACATCAGAGACCATAACACCTGCTCCTCTTCCTCGAACCATACTGACCACAGCACCCTCCTCTCCCCGTGAACCATCAGAGAGGTATGTAAGAAGTATTTGCGCTCATTTCCTTCGTTATAAAGTTTCTTACATATATGAAAAGTTTCCAGATGTCCTAACGAGTCCTGCTAACAATTGTTATCACTCCGATGGTCAAAATAGAGGCTTTCTTGTAAGCTACCATATGTGTATAATTCAGTCTTAGGTTTATTTGATCTATACTCTGTCTTAGATATGGTTGCTGACAACGTCTTGAATACAAGTTGTAATGGTTGAGTTTTGGCTATTTTTGAATAATTTCTGAGAATTATTTGTGACATGTCTCTAAGAGAAGTTGTGTTGAGGAACTTCAATACATGTATTGCCCACCCCAGTAGGGGTGGTAAATATGTTATTTAGTTAGATATTCAAGAAGATCCTTAGGGAAAGAGTCAAACCAAGGACCGAGATGTCGCCCAGTATGGCGCAGCCGGAGCCCCACCCTGGAGTCAGGCCTGGAGTTGGGGCCCGCATGCGAGCGCCTGGTAACCGGGCCTTTGCCCTTGGGGCCCGAACAGAGCCTGAACAGATGTTGTTGGCCCACCCTCCTGTGGACCCACCACCCACAGAGGGATCCATAGGGGTCAGGAGAAGAGAGAACTGGGTGGCGCTCGAAGAGGGGTGCCTCAACAACCCAGTTTGTGCATTCAGCCTCTGGCTGTAGAGACGTGGAACATCACCTCGCTGGGGGGGGGAGCAGACTGAGCTTGTGCGGGAGGTTGAGAGGTACTAGCTCACCTATACACGCAGGTTGGGTTGGGGATCCAATCTCCTGGAAAGAGGCTGGACCTTCCACTTCTCTGGTGTTGCAGCTGGGAGAAGCAGCAAGCTGAGGTGGCCTGCTCATTGCTCCCCATCTCAGTCATGTTGGAGTTCACCCTGGTGAACGAGAGGGTCATGTACCTACGCCTTCGGGTTGGGGACAGGTCTTTCACTGTTGTTTCGGCCTATGGGCCCATCATTGGTGCAGAGTACCCAGCCTTCTTGGAGTTCTTGGGAGGGGAACTAGATGATGCTCCAACATGGGACTCCGTTTTTCTACTGGGGGACTTCAGTGCCCACATGGTCAGCAACACTAAGACCTGGACAGGGCTGATCGTTGGAGCTCAACCTGAGCTGTGTTCTGTTATTGGACTTCTCTGCTAATCACAGTTTGTCCATAACCAACACCATGTTCGAACACAAGGTTTTCCATAAGTGCACGTGTCACCAGGACACCCTAGGACAAAGGTCGATGATCGACTTTTTAGGAGAGCGTAACCTTCACAACTAGCTATTGTCCTACAGTAGAGCTGGATAACGGCCAATCCAACTCCTCAATATTCAATAGACTTTTGATTTGCAAGTTAACCAAGTTTACCAAACTACTGTTTTCTAATAATTTCAAGCATTTTATTTAAATGATGTACAAATCATGTAAATGGTTTTTGGTGGAGTATATTTGGATGTACTGTATGCCTGTTAAATCTATTTTATTGTTAAAACTTGGCAAGAGACTGCAGAAGCTGCAGCTAAATCTAGTGTGAAAATTATCTTTTATAAAGATGAATGAGTTCAATCTTTGCCAATGTAAAATGAATAATAAACTATAGACAAAATTTCTCCATAGCGTAAAGGATAAATATGTGGTTCTGTTCTCTTTTTACTTCATTTATTTTAAGCCTGTTATCACCAATGAAAAAATGCAAAGTTCACTCTGTAGGTAATGCTGTTTACATTTTATGTTAATAGTGGTGTCAGGTCTAAGTACCTTAAACACCATACATACATACAGGGAAAGAAAGAAGGCACAGAGACAATTAATTTAGTTTTACTCGTGAGGAGAGGAAGAGACTGCACAGTTTACAAATCTCCAACCCACTCTGCCGGTCTTCAGCTTTCTCCTCGCTATTTATTAAAGTCAGAGAGGGTGTCCCTAGTTACACAAGCTGAGGTTGCGCTAAAGGAATAGGAAATAAGAAATACAATTCAATTTGCAGCCTCCGTGAACAGGTCAATGTGCATTTAAATGTCTTGTGGTCAAATGGTCCGAGAACCTCTTGGTTTCGTTAAGTTTGAGCAATACTTCCTGATAGTTGATCTATACTGCTTGTGCAACACCTCTCTGGAACAGTAATATGTCACACATTATACATCATAAGAACAAACATTAAGTATCTTATAGATAATTATTCCAACATAGTGGTTTTATGGTTCTTTTTGTCACTCATACCAATGTGTTTGAGATCAATTGATATAATAATAATTCCATCCAAACTGCTGTTTAACTCACAGGGACTCCTACAGGTAAACACGTGTAGTCAGGGTTTCATTGGTGTGAGCTTTAGTAATAGTGATTCTGTTAATTTAATATTTTGAAAAGAGGAAATATGTATATCAGTTTAAAGATGGCTTTCAGTAAGTCTGTTCTTTTTTTAGGAAATCTGCACTGGACCAGTTGAGATCTAAAAGTACACTGATCCGTAAGGGAAATCCATCTGTTTACCAACTGAAAGCAAAAAAAGAAAAATCTTCTACATTGACCAGAGTTACTATTGGTGAAAATACGGGTCTCAAAAGAAATAAAACTATCTTACTGGTCGGAGAAACAGGAGCAGGAAAATCCAACTTGATCAATGCCCTGGTCAACTTCACCATTGGGGTGAAGTTCCAGAATAA